TATTGGAGGTTTAAATAGACATTTTGATAGATTGATAGAATATTTAAGAAATATTTATGGTAAATATGGTTTTGGAGTGACTAATAAAAAAGATAGTTATATTAGATTATATTTTTGCATATGATTTTGTTATTACTAATTTTATTTAAGAAAAAAATGAACATATTATCACTTATAAGAATGGATCTAGTAAAGCAAAAAATTATTATTTTCTTATGAGGAAAAAGATCGTCAAGAGTGTAAATATTAGAAGGTTATTCCAAGTAAAAAAATTAAATAACCGATATTGATTATTAATTTTGGATTTTAAAATGAAGTGTTGTAAGATTAACAATATAATAAAATATTGTCATAGAGTTAGATGAATGCACTTAAAAGACATAAAATTATTTTTATGAGCAAACCTTAAGATCTTAAAATTTGCGACGTTCACGGCGAAGTTAATACGGTGCGGGATAAAGTAACAAGTACTATTAAACATGTTGTAAAAGTGATTCTTCTATAATCAAAGGGAAAATCTTTTATGAATAAAAATAATTAGCGGTGAAATAATAATGTAAAAAAATGGGTTGTTAACATACATAGGACCCGGAACATTGCTATTTATAAGTTAAGCACTCTCTTTCATCCATTTGAGAATTCTCACTCAAATATTAAATTTCATGATAAAAGTTTAACCCTTATTTTTCATTTTTATAAAATTCTCAATAGCACATTCGTGGTGTGCATAAATACATCGGTTCTGTAGTTCAAAAAATATGACATGGATGCTAGATTTTGTAAATAGCTACGTTTCAGGTGTTATGTATTTAATTATCCCATAAATGAATAAAAAATAGGAAATTTTGGTATAAAAATTGGTTTAGATGTAAAAGTTTGAAGAAATAGGAAATATATAAGATGGCATATATGGAGTTTAAGAGATTAATTTGTGATTTTAAGAATTTTGTTTTTAGTGATATTTATAATAAAATGGATACTAAAGAGTGTGAAATATATATGTTTAAATTAACCAAAGAAAAAGATAAGAAAAGTAAAGTTTAACTTCAACAAAATTTTAGAATGGAAAAAGTGGTTTTCTTAGATAAGTATATTCAACGTAGGTGGGTGATATATTTTGATAAACTATTCTGGGTCAGTTAAGGCCAGTTGCAGTTATTTGAAGAAACAACTGTGAGCTGTTGCAGAAGAAGTAACTGTTCAAAAAATAGCGGTGGCTATTACAATATTTTTTTTTCAAAAAATCAAACAACAACTTTCCAGCAACCACCACACTTAGTTATATTTGGTTGCAAAATGCAGCTTTCAGCCATAACTTTTCAAAAAATCAGGTAAAACACAATTTTGCCAAACAAAAAAAGTGCATTGCAGAACCGCTCCGCTGCCCTAAACACACCCTCAATGAAATTTGTGAAAATACGATCTACTTTAATGACTTTAAGATCATAAATAGTAATAATTTTTTGTTTCTATCTTCAGATTAGTAAAATTAACTTATAGATATTTTAAAGAAAATAAAGTGAAAAAGCAATATAATTTGATGTTATTCCAATAGAAGTGTAGAAATGTTTAGGATATCTTGAAATTATTTAACTTGCTAAACTTTTAATATTATCGTAAAAATAAAAGGATGCCTAATGAGTAAATAAACTGTATATTGGTTCCTATTTTTATGAATAGAAGGGATGCACAGGAGTGTGTAAATTATAAATGAATATGTCATACATTAAAGTTATGTGAGAGAGTAATTGAACATTGGTTACGACGCGATACAAAAATTCATCAAATAAGTTTGGATTAATGCCAGATAAATCTATTATGTAAGCGATACATTATTGATAGGTTTGATGGAGAAGAACTGCGAGGGTAAGGAGGATCTACCTATGATTTTTGTTGATTTAAAAAAAAAAAATTATGATATGGTTCCATACTTTGGAGAGTTCTTGGAAAATAAAGGTGTTGATATGACTTATAGTCAAGTTATTAAAGATATGTATACTTGAGCTATTACTTGTGCTCGAACACAAGGATGATTGACTAAGCATTTTCCTATTTCAGTTGGATTACATCTGCCCATATCTTTTTTGCTTTAGTTATGGATGTGATTACTGGACATTTATAGGAGGATGTACCTTGGTGTATTCTTTTTGCTGATGATATCTTTCTTATGGATAAAACTAAAGAGAGTTCAGGAAAACTTAATATATGGAGGTCAACTTTGGAGTCTAAAGGCTTTCATCTGAGTATATCTAAAACTGGATGCATGGAATGTAATTTTAGTAGTAGCAGAGCTAGTGGTGGGGTTGCAACTTGTAACAATGGGTGATCAAGTCATTAAAAGGAGTGAACGTTTTAGAGTCGGGTCTGTTGTTCAAAGTGATGGTGATGTTATGAACAAAGTTCGTCGGGTCTATTGTTCAAAGTGATGGTGATGTTATGAACAAAGTTCAAGCTGGATGACTGAAGTGGACGAATGCATCAGGCCAATTATGTGATAGAAAATTACCGCTTAAACTTAAAGAAAAATTTTATAAGATTGATGGTGAGACTTGCAATGTGTTTTATGATGCTGAATGTTGGCCTGTAAAAGATAAGCATTAAATTAGGTCTTGCTGAGATGAGATTGCTTTGGTGGATGAGTGGCATTACACTTGAGAGAAAAAATACAAAATGAATATATATCCATGAAAGGGTTAAAGTAGCTCCGGGGCATACAAGACGAGAGAGTCGCCTTAGATGGTTTAGTCACATTAAACGTCGACCATCTGATGACCCAGTTAGGTTTGACTTATGTTAAGAAAGGTAGAGGTAGACCTAAAAGACTTTCATGTTGTCTAGCAAATGATCTTAATTTATTAGAATTAAATGGAAGTATGAGACTCAATAGAACACATTGGAGAAAAAATGATTAATGCAGCCGACCCCACTAAGTGGGATAATGGCTTGTTGTTGTTGCTCTTGTTGTCGTTGTTTCTGCATTGACTTCTTTTTTGTCGGAATGAGAAGCATAATAGCTGAAATGTATGATGGAATTGGTTCTAAGAGTATGGCATTAGACACTTTGAAACTTGATCAATACTTTATAGTTCAAACATTAGCATTAGGTGGTGATTTGTGATGGAAGCCAATCAGTCTTCAGTCTATTATTGATCTCAGTTTTGTAGGGTTGGCAAGGTGGAAATGATGCACTTCCTTTGATGAATGCACCTTGGTAGAAGGAATTACTTGGTTGCATCTCAGGACATTTGATGAGTCTTCAACTCCAACTATTGTAAATGCACAATTTGATCAACTGCCCAACCTTTTGTCTGGGTAGTCTTTTCAATGACATGTTTGGACCCTCTTTCTCTTCCTTTGTAAAAATGAGTTTGTCGGTTCATGTGTAAGATCATACATTTCAGCTATTATGCTTGGACAATTAGATGTCTAGCCCGTAATCACAACGAAATTGCAAGAGTGGAGCTCTACCAACCGAGCTATATCTCTCTGAATCGGTTGAAAGATCATGAAAGAGTCACATACTTCTTCAATTCTTTTCCTTGATGCAACAAGGCCATTTTGAGCTTGAATCAGACCTTGTTCTTGAAGTAAATCATTGCACGTACAATTCAACCAATTGGGAGAAAATCATAGGTTTTTTTTTAAAGAAGTGATTCATCCTTCTCGAACACTACATACATCTCTTCATTGCGATGTGTTCTTCAAGTTTGCTTGTTTCACCTTCTCCCTTAGCATAGCAAGTTTTTTTGAAATCACTTCGATGGGAAGAAAAAATAAAGCGTTGAGAGATAAATAAATAAACACACCTCATATCTTATTCGACGATCACTCATATTGTATCAGGGATCAAAAACCGTTAATTGTGTTTTTTTTACAAAACATTCTTCTTATATTATAGCTTGATCCAATCTCCTGGTTCTTGAGGAAAGTAAAAAGTTCACGTTCTTCCTTTTGGGAAGGAAGGATTTAGGAAATCCTATTAATTGTTGCTTTCTTTAGACCTCCGACATAAATAGGGACAAATCGTAGGATGCCTCCACATCCCATAATGAAAGGAGTGATCTTGTGGTGTTTGATGTGTGAAGATGTGCTGTTAGGCTCTTATCAAATCAAAATAGTTAGGATCATTAAGAAAACAGATTCTTTTTTGAAGACTGCATAACTGCATGGATAAACTCACACTAGCTTGTTCATTTTGGATCAAATTTGGGATTTTTCTTAAGAGGTATTGGGAAGGAATTGTAATGTAAGGATATCGATTCATATAGAAAAAACATATACATCTTCTCCCCAAGTTATGGGGCTATTTTATGGGGTTACTTAGAGAGAGTTGTTTCACGCCTCTAATTATTCTCTACGTACCCTCCTGTATCAGTTTCGGGTATAGTACCCTCTTGTTGTAAGGTTGTTAGAGCATTACTTGAGGGTATGTCATGCGTTACTTTAGCATTGTAGCACACTTGGATAATTTGCTCAAGGCATTTCCTCTACCCCTTCTTAATCTTAAAAAGCATGGTCACCTTGCATCCTTGAATTGAGAACCATCTTTCTAATTTCTGCTAACCTAGCCTTCTCCATCCCTCATGACCAAAAAAGGCCTATGGTTTGAGATTATTTCATAAACTCAAATTGGCACACAATCAAGGCAAATTAGCTAACCATGTTCATCATCCCTAATTTATACTTGAACTCTTGCGTGAAATCTAAGCTTTTAACAAAATATAATTGGCCTTGGCTTGGAAACATAGTGGATCCATTTGTGTCAATCTTTTCCCCACCGTTGCCACAGTAATTGCCGAACTTGCTTTATAACCTGCTTCATACCAGATAACCTGTAAGTTTCTACAACATTAAAATTATATCGTGGCAGAATTCTTGTACACAAAAATATGAACATAAAAAGATATATCAACTTCAGAACCACAAATCTTTTGAAAATCTTTTTACTTCCTATGTTTTCAAGTTTCTAAGTCTTTTTAACTCTTAATCATGCTGCGCAGAAGTGATGCTTTGTTGAGAAACCTGGATGCTTTACATTCACGGGGATCACTTTCTAGGATTGTTATTGATGAAGCACATTGTGTAAGCCAGTGGGGACATGATTTTAGGCCAGACTATCAGGTATAAACAATTATTTTTTTACCTAATTGGGAATTGTAGAAGATATTTTCACTGATTTGAGCTTGTACTGTATCAGGGTCTTGGAATTTTGAAGCAGAAGTATCCGAAAACTCCAGTGCTAGCTCTAACAGCTACTGCAACAGCTAGTGTAAAGGAAGATGTTGTGCAGGCTTTAGGCCTTGCAAATTGCATTGTTTTCAGACAGAGTTTCAATCGGTCAAATCTATGGTGAGCTATGGTGAGTAATAATGGTCAACTCTTTAATTGTACCTGTATCAATATATAGTGTAATTTTTTCAGGTATTCTGTGGTGCCCAAGACAAAAAAATGCTTGGATGATATTGACAAATTTATCAAAGGCAATCATTTTGATGAATGCGGGATCATTTACTGCCTGTCGAGAATGGATTGTGAGAAAGTGGCTGAAAAGTTACAGGTTTTCCTTATAATGCACAAGATTTCTTTACAACTTAGGAATCATTTAATTTGTGTACCTTTCTGCATATGAAGAAAATACAAGCTTTGCATCTAATAAAGCATGTTGGGAGAGTCTTAATCACTCAAGCTTGAGTCACAATCCCTGCATTGTTGTTTCTTTTAAGTCATCTATCAAAGTCTCATAAACTAAACATAATTGAATTGTAATAGGAAAAAAAGTCCATTTTTGTCTTGTTTTCTTCATTAATGATATCAATCATATCTGCTTATCCCAAAACATTCTTCTGGGATCTCTTTTAGAATAAAGTGCCATTCATTTTAGTTCTTCGGAGCCTAGAAAATCTTAATCTTCGGACATTGTATTCTTCAAAAATGTTGCCCTTATAATAATTATCAAGAAATTCATCTATCGTTTAAGCATAAATGTTAATTGAGAATGAATAAAATGAAATGCAAAGTAGCACAGGAAGATAAAGCACGCATGTAGACACCAAGATTTAGATCTTTCAGCTTAAAATGAGCTTACATCTATGGAGGTAATATTCAATCCATTAAAAATGTTGACACAAAAATATGGGTCGGGATTTTACCGTGAATTTGGATATTTGAGAGAGAATTTGAAAAATGGATGAAAGAGGATGGTTGATCTATAAGTAGCAAGTTTGTGATCCGTATATAACTGGCCCTAAATTTTTCGTACAGATCAACCTTCACAAATATGAAATATCAATTACTATTAACAATGTACAGAACAAAAAAACACTCACTAGCCATTTCAACACGAGTATACTCAACCCTCACAATGAAGAGGCCCAAAAAACCTGCACAAATAGAGATATACCAATTCAGGAGAATGTGGAGATCTTTTGCGGAAATCCATAGATATCCTGTTTAATATCTCAACACAGTGGAAAATTTCTTCCCCTTCAGTTGCCCATCGCTTTAGTAATACTTGTGAGAGAGTTGTGTCCATCACTAGTGCTCACATGATATAACTCGAAAATTGAGAGGTGCTTACCATGCAGCTCAATATCTCTCAAGCCCGAAGAGCTTTTTTATCTCGCTTCCTAATATTCTCTAGTTAATTGTGAAGGCTGAGATATGTTATTTATTATTGAATAACACGCCCAAACATTGTAAGAGATCTCATTCTCATTGAATCCATCCCACTTGAATTATTTGTATGAATATCAAATATATTTTCTATTCGGACCCTGCATGCATGAAAAATTGAGAAGTTTATGATCTTGAATTATTGCAGGCTCTATTATGCTTCAAACACATGTCTCATCAAAATAAAGGGATTCCAAACATAATAGATCCCTTGCAATGTTTGTTTAGATCCTATGCAACATATGTGGCCCTGGGCATATTTAAATATGTATCCTTTAGCCCCATGATGGGGCTATGTGTGATATGTTACAAGTGCTATGTGATAGGAGTCATCTTTTTGGCACATTTAGGGCAAATGTTACATGGCAGGATTACTTATAGAAGATGTAGGGGTTGCCTATAGAATCTTATTTGTATAATGAATATTTTTGGCCAATATGCGGTTATTGACATGGATGTTAGACATCAATTTCTTCTTTCGTTAAAAAAAATTTTAGAATCATGTCTAATGTATAGACAATAAAAGAAAAGAATGATTAATTGGGAGATCTATTGTAAGCATTTCAACCAAATAATTAGTCTATGCTAACTTATTTAGGCCATTTTGATGTGGGAGCGTCTGCTTGCTATAGTCACGGAACCTATCGCGTGACTTCCGATTGCAAGGGCTACGTGCTTCCATCAAACTGGAGTTCTGCAATTGCAGAGAAGATCAAATAGGAAACTTTTGATCGATTGGAAACTTCTGATGAAAACCTTTGCACGTCAGCCCCATGGAAAAATATATTGATATTGATGCACTTTCATTGATACAAGTTTAGCCGATGCTCTTGTGACGGTTATATGCAGATTAAAAAGATATTGATATGTAAATAATATAATAAGATGATTAATATTTATAAGCACTTTGAATGATCATATTAGATAGTACAAATATTGAAATGCTTTTAGATTGATTTACATGGGGTTTAATTGACATGCATATTTTTTTTTGGTTGTGTTACTATAATTTTGTAGGAGTTTTTCCTTGTTTTGGTTAGCTTATTATTATTTTAAATTAATTGTTTAATGTTTAGTTAATTGATTAAAAGATGAGCTATAATAAATAAAATACTTGTAGAAGACATAAAGAACCTGACCTGCGGTAAATTTATATCTGTTTTAGTTTAATTTTCTTATCTGTAGTAGCTCTTTTATTTGTTAAATGTTTTAGAAATGAATATAAAAATTTTAATTTTGACCATTCAATCATTTGTCCCTACCTTGGTTAATTCCAGGCCCGAGTCGGGTCGTGACAAATGTGATATTAAAACATTTTTTAGAATTAATTAATATAATCTTGATGAAGGGGTCAATAGGATAATTGCAAAGAAATTAATATTTTTTTTTTGAAAATTTAAGCTCTAAGTAATTATGTTAATTCAAATAAATGGTTGCATCCAAGATTATAGGAGAATGGAGTTTTTTAGAAAATGAAGAAGTATCTTAGTTGTAATTGTGAGCACGAATGCCTTGATTGATTATTGTAGCGATTACACAAATGATTTAAGAGTTCAGACTGCACCTTGGTAGGAATGATATAATTGTTGTTTATAAGTATTTAAAAATATTTCAAGATCTGCATCCAGTTTGGTTCAAAATAACTGAAGATGAGTGAAATGAAGAATTTTCTAATGATGATAGAAAAAATATTGGATTTGTCCCCGTTCAGATGAAAGAAGAATACCGTTAACTACATTTATGCTGGATGTTGAAGTCGAAAGGTGGTGGCGTGGGCAGTGTCAGGACATGTTAGGGAATATACTTAATATGATGATAAGTCGAGAGGATTTTGTGGAACTTTTCAGAGACTGATTTGTTCCTCCGTCCACTTGAAGGCAGTTATAGGACAAGTTATCAATTTGGTGCAAGAAGCGAGAAAATTATGTAGTATGAAACAATTTACTGCACTACTGAGGTATGCATCACAGTTGATAGCTAAAACAGAAAAAAAGTACTATAGGTTTTTTAGATTCAGTCAGGTAGCTCTTAGTGCTATTAGGCATTAATGATTACTTAGTGTTAATAGAAAAAGCTAAATGATTAGAGATCGATTTTCAACATATTTAAAGCGTAAGAGACACACAAGAAAAAGAGTATTGATGAAGGAGAGCATGTGAATTAATAAAAGAAATTTAATATGAAGAAGCCTAGGTTCATTTTTGATAGATTATGTGGCTGCACTTCTCGTAGTATCATATTTACTTGTGTCAAAAGTGGAAAACAATATAAAGATGAATATTTGATGTCTTATTATACATGCTACTTGTGTCGTCAATTTGGTCACATAGCAAGTTATTGCCCTTGGCTATAATATCTAAATAGAACGAAATTAGTTGGCGCTCCTTCACAGAAGATTGCAAGTGGACACAAAAGGATATAATCTATAACTTAAGCTCCTACTCAAAGTCCACGAAGATAACCTCTTCAAACTCGAGTTTATACTCGTAGAGAACCTGAAGAGCCGACCGCTGATGTTGATTTTACTAGGGATTGACAAGTATTATATTTTATCCCATATTATAAGAGTTTCATTCTATTGTATTTATTTTTTAGAGGATGTGTTGCTGTTGTGTTACCTTGCCGTAGACGTGATGCTGTTTTGTTTCCGCTGATGTTGATTTTACTAGGGATTGACAAGTGTTATATTTTATCACATATTATAGGAGTTTCATTCTATTGTATTTATTTTTAGAGGATGTGTTGCTGTTTTGTTACCTTGCCGTAGACGTGATGCTGTTTTGTTTCAGTTGATGGGGAAGTTAGCTATCTTGTAATGGACAATTGTTTTTTTTTGTATCCATGTTTCATCTTGTTGAGTGAGAGTTAAACTTCTTCATGAAAATTTATGGACAATTTAAGTTTTACCTAATTAATGCCAAGTTATTTGTGATATATTTATAAATTTTGTGGTCTAAATTTTTATAAGGGAATATTGTAATAATTGAAAAGTAGAATAACAAAAGAAATAAAAGAAAATAAATTTGAGTCGTTTAGTGTCTTTTTGAAGGCAGCAATGTCTCGACAATTTAGTTTTAAGGAGGCGAGTGTCCCATTAATGCAAAGAAGTGAACCAAATAAGAGAGAACAAGATTTGGAGATGGAGAAGGAATATTTAGAAAATGTTTCGTGTTTCTCTTATCGGATATTGGGCGCACTTTGTAAAAGACGACGCCGAAGGCTACATTTGTGAAGGTGAAGAGTAGCGACGAAGCAGGGAGGCCTACGGGTACTTTTGCTGCGTGCAAGGAGAGACGTGGTTTTGATTTCAAACCGAGGAGAAGGTTTGATGCGCTTAAGGTTGGATAGCGTTTCATGTGAAGTTCTCCGTGTGTGGGACGGGAGCATAAAAAAATTTCTCCTGCGGGAGATAGGAGTTCGAACCCTTTAAGGGAGGGGCTAGGATTGGAATGCTTCAAAGGAAAGAACTCAACATGTACCTTGACAAATGGAAGGGCACAGATGACTATGGCGCAGACGGAATAGCCTACTTTGAGAATTACGGCAGAAGAAGAGAAAACTATCGCCTTGCTGCAACTGAAGGAACGAAATCAATTTCCCAACTAGCTGTAGGACGAAGCAAGGCATTCAACTAAGAGCAGGCCGGAAAGAAAGGCAAGTCTGAAGGCAGAAGTTTTAAGAGAGAGGGGGGTTCTTAGGCATTCGATCCCCTATATATATATATCCAGACGAGAATACACAAAGATGCATCGTCTTATCATCTGTCCTGCCTTTTTGCATCTTGTGGGAGAAGGGAGCGTCCTGTCACCTCCCAAAAGAGCTCTTAGGGGTGGTGGGCAGCCCAAGACTTAAATACTGCTTTTCGGCCCTACACCTAGCCGATGT